CCCTATTGTAGAGGGAGTCCAGAGAGGCTGTCAGCTCACTTAGCCCGTCTTTTGAGTGGTGTGAACAGTCTTCAAAATGCCTTTGGGTTTCCCTTTACCCAAAGATTGAGGGAATTCTCCTTTTCATTCTCAGCCACAGGAATTAAACAATAAGATCAAAATCTTGTAATCTCCTTGGGAATTCCTTTTAGTTGTATGGGATCTAAAATGCTGGTTTTCCCCTAAATTGCTGGGCAAATGAAGGCAGAGGCTAATCATACAGCTGGCTTTCCATGCAAACATTTCCGATGTCTGGTGCGGTGCCATTTGTTTGTGATCGCCTATGAAATGAATAAGTTAATTGTTTTTAATACCTATGCACAAGTTTAAATGTCATTAACTTGGTTCCTTATTGATCTTATGATCTGTTTACAGCGAGAACAAGAGGACCTGGAACAAAAGTAAACTTTATTATTCCCGTTTTTTTAAGTCTTTCATAGTACCAGCTTATGAAAAGAACCATCCTATAAAACAGGATCGCACTAGGGTCTCCAAACAGGTAATATTTAGCGTATTGCTTTCAGTAAAAACAGCACGACTAAAGATTTTGAATTTGAGGCAGTATTATTCCCTCTGCCTCAGCGCTCTGTGGATCAACAACTATGTATTATGTGAAAACTGCCATCTTTATTCTTCACCGAACAAGTCTCTTAAAGCACATATAGCTGTACTGCAGGAATGTGCAGAGAATAAAAACCTAGATCTTCATTTAAAAAAATGAGATGCAAATTGTAAATTTGCAACTGCGTCTCCCCTGTCTGAAAATGATCCCCTACAATTTCCTAATAGCAGCTAAAACACCGAAAGGAAAATACTTGCCAGCCTTTGGGCGTGCTTGTTCTCCAATGAAACAGTCTGAATGTGCAGAAATGCAGACAGGGACTTTAGATTTGAGGGCAAAAAAGTTTGTGGGTGAAGTTCAGCCTACAATGCGGTTTGTTTTGCATGCAGGAGGTTTCTTACAATATCAGTATCACAAACTGAAATTGCTTACAACTTCCCCTGCCTTTCCAACTTTGATGTTTTTTTCCCTTAGACATAGTTTTAGTTGTGTATATCCCACATCTCGTTGTGGCCGTCACTCGGAGAGAAGAATGTTGGGTCTTTACTGTACCACTTACTGTACCGCCTTCGCTGTGGGAACTGTCATTGCAACAAAAGGTCTGAAGGATTGGAAAGGAAACGCGCAGTCATTCTGTCCAGTTATGAACATTTCTATGAATGCAAATTATCTCTAGCTTTGTAGAAAGCGTTTTTTATTGAGCACCAGTTATGCCTTCAATAGTGAAAGGCATATCGAGTTATTCACATGGGAAAGCTGGTGTAAGGGAAGGTCTTGATTTGTTACACTCAGTATCATTTTTGGGTTTTAACCTTAAACAAAGGAAGAAATCCATGGAAATATGCTTGAAACTTTAAGTAACCTACTCGCAACATGCTTTAGATTTGTTAAAAGATTTGCAAACCCTTTGACGAGTTTCACCTACTTCCCAGATGTCATCGCAGAAACTAATGCAATGTTACCATTTGCTATAAAAACTTCCTGCAGCTCTATTAACAAGATTCCCATGATGTAATTAGAAAGAAGGTGCAGTGTTTTCTTTGGCATCCATGGGTAAAATGCTGTGCATACTTACGCTGCTATAAACCCAGGGCAACTCAGTTCATTTTAATGAAGTTATTTTGGACTTAGTTCATGTGGAATTTGGCTATACCTTTATCTATAGCTGGATATCTTCCCTGAGGGGCAAATCCAACAAAGGTGGTACATTTTCTTTATATTTCATATAGGAAGACACTATTCTCAATATCAAGAAGGTTGCTACTATTCTGATAAAGGTTAAGTGCTGTAATATCTTTGAGGTCCAGATTCAGGTAAGGTTTCCAGATGTGTCCATAACTTGCTTGAATACGCTGGAGCGTGTGTAAGTGCTGAAGTCAGGGCCTTCAAGCCTCTCCTTTACGCCCTTTTTTCCTCTCTGTTCGCTAATCTGTTACATGAGGTTCATGGTCAAGACCCATTTTGGAGTCAGGTGCTGCATTTATCACAAAACATTTATCTCCTCATTTGAGCCAGCTGAAGTCTCTGGTAGTAGCAAGGTTGGTGCTTGTGCCAGTGTCTCTACCACTGGTGTAGGTAGATGACTTTGGACTGTGATACCAAACACAGGCATGTTCATTGCTGTTTCTCACAAAACACAAAAACTGCTTTGGACTTGGAATCTGCCTATCATTTCTCATCCAGAGAAGCCTGTACACAAATGGCCTTTGTATAAGACCTTGTTGCCATCTTTCTTTTTTCTAAATGAGTAACAAACAAAAAGAAAGGGAACTAGAAGGGGAAAAAATTGAGTTTTAATGGAAACACATTTCCTCTTTTGTTTTCTGCTTGCCATAAAACATTAACATAGTAAACAAATTGATCTTTGCTCTTAAATTCTTTAATAACATACAGTAATTTGAGTTTTGTCATGGCTAAGGTATGGTTAAACCATATTGTGTTGCTGGTCGCATTCAAACCTCTACTGTCACAGTTCTTTGACATCAAACTACGTTTTTAAAATAAAAGTTGTGTTTAACTCACTTCTGTTAATAGACACCTTCGTTAAAAGGTCACCATTTTGGGGGGATGTTTCAGTACATTAGTGGTAATGGTGTTTTCTGACCAAAACTGCTTTTTCTTGGGACATAGTTCAAAGTCCATGCATTCCCATGGTCAGCCCCTGCTTTCTGCCATACATTACTTTTCTGAATGCTGTATCCCCACATGAGCAAAACTTTTATAGGATGCTCTGAAACATTATATTCTAGACAGCTAATCCAACTGTAGGACTGTTACCGTGGTGTTACAATAGCTGACAGAGCTATTTGAAATAGGGGTATGTTACAAAAAAAGAGAAAGTGTCACTTTGGTCCACTTTTCAGAGTGGTTGGTGTTATAATATATAACCTTTTTTTTCTTTTTTAACGCAGTGTAGTTCACAATAATTTAAAATACTCTATAGACATTTAAACGATATACAATAATATAACTTAATTGGATTCCTCAATTGTACTTAACAAATACTATTCTAATATATTTACAGTATCTAGTACCATAAGACTGTGCATTACTGTGCTTGGGAGCTTTATTTGCTTCCTGTCAAGACTGTAGTGAAAGTACAGTATATCACTATTATTCAACAACAATATCCATGAATCAAAGGGACTTTAAGTTATATGGAGTGACCAGCATTTTTGGGGGCCCCTGTCGACTTCTATGGAGTTGCATGTGTTCATGCCAAGGCTAGTAATTAGGAACCAACAACAACAATTCAAAAAATGAGCTCTTCAATTTTGGATTGCTCCATGGAAGACTCATCAAAGGGGTCTGATTTTCAGAGGGTAAGTGCTTGGGGTCAGAAAAGTAGGTCCTCATGAATGTTCAAACAAAGGTCCCCAAGTGATTAGTCACTTTTGATAATACAGGCCCATAAATTACGGATCTAATCCTGGCTCATTCACATATCCAGCATGGGAGCTGGTGGACCAGTAGCTCCACTAGTCCCTTGCCCCAGGAGCACTGTGTGGTGTGGCAAGTGCTCCCATGTCAGGTGGGGAGGGCTCATGGCTGTGCAGCCTCTCAATAAAAGTGATAAAGTGAAACAAAAGCTGATAATGCAGATATGCAGGCGTTAGGAAATTTTTAATCCAAGTTTTCAGAAAATCAGGTAGGGACCCTTGCTACAAGCAAACATTCATGTCACTAAATACGCTGTGGTATAAGTGGGCATGTCTGTCTCTTGGGTTGAAAACACTAGATTTTACAGTAGTAAAATATCTGAGGATTTTTTTTAAATCTCTCATAGGGAAAAGGTGTGTGAATTAGAATTGAGTGCTGGTGTAAAAAGTCAGCTTCTTTCATAACATTCATGTATTTACCAGGGGATACGTTATTGCCAACCTTAGAATGATGATGACACAGACTAACACAAATTTTAGCTTTCTTATGCTCATGAAGCCACCACAGCTCACAGGTTGCAGCAACCTAGAGCTCAGCTACCATATTTTTATCAACTTCTCAGTTCATACTGAGCATAAGTTATTTAAAACTGTTGGTAGTATTAACTTTCAGCCGTTAAAGGCAAAATGCAATGCCTGGAAGATCCTGCCAGTGCATTTGACGGCAAAGCAAGACACTTGATGTTTGTCGAAGCAGGTCTTTGCATCCTAAAACTCCCTATGAGGAGCTGAGAGCAGGTGCTCCACACCTCAAGCCTGAGTCTAAAAAGTCATTCTTATTCAGGAGGCAAGCGGGAAAAGTCTTTATCAAGCATTTGTAACCACAGTTTCGCGTGATCTTTTTGCTCAGTTCTGGTAATTGCTTAAGGCCTACAGTAATTGAACGCTCTAATAGTGGAGTGACAACAGATCAGTAGCATTGAAGAACTTAGGGAGAACCAAATACAAAAATCAAAAAGTCAGAGTTCCAATAAGTTTACATTTAGTACAGAATTAAGACATAGCTACCCGTTAGTGCTTAGAATTTTTTGATACTATTAAAAACATAAATAATTATTTTTAATGTTCATTCAAAGAGTTCCAGTGTCACTGGCAGCTGATGTAATTTTGTGATCGTTATTTTTTTCCAAACTGATAGTGGAGTATTTCCGCCACAGATTTTGTCTCCCTACCAGTTGTTTTCTCTCTACCTGCTTTCTTAGAAATTTAGGTTTTTGCAGCAAGACTGCTGTGTTCTAGTCAGTGAAGATTTCATTTCCTTAAAAAAAAGTCTTTATTTGCACAGGACTCGGTGGTTTTTTTGTTCTAAAACAGTAGAAAGTGTCTTTTTCTTTTAAATGTCATGGGAGCTGCAATGCAATCAGCTTCTCTGATATAACTTAAAACACTTACTAGAAGAACTCTACAACACCCAGACTGCAGTTTAAAAAAAAAAAAAAGGAAAGAGAAAGTTTCATGTGGTTGTCAACATCACCTTAATCCTGTTGCCCTTGTTTCCAAAGCAGTTACAACAGCTAGCCAGCCAAAATGCACCATCCTCAGAAGTGTAAGTAGTGGGGAGGGAGTGGTTGTTGTGGTGTTCGTTGTGTTTTTTTTTCCCAAAGAAGATTAGATGTGCAAAATGATGCTGTCGTCGTTTGCTGTACTCCACTTTCTTCACTCACGGTGATTTGTTCTGTTCATTTGCACATGATGCCATTATTTGCAGGTGAACACCTCTGTCCGCTCACTACACGTGTTGCACTTCACAAAGCAGCACCAGTGGAATTTGCAATTACACTGCCACACCTTAGTGTACTGGTGTGTGTTGTAGCCTCTTCCACAGCACATCATGTCACACCCATCTGCATTGGGAGAGGTACGGTTGCAGAGTCGTCCCTGGGTACCGACGCTCCCTGTGGAAGCATCTTCCTCACAGTAGTTGGGTGACTTTTCGATATACACTAAATCGGTTTCCATAGGTTTCTGGTAACTCTTAATCTGCTTGATCTTCAGGAAGGTTGGCTGTCTTAGTCTACTGGCTCGTACCACCTCCACTTGCACTGCAGCATTGTATTTCTCTTTCAAAATATATCCGATCTCTCTGAATTTAGGAAGCGTGGTCCAGCAGGTCTTAGTTGTACAGGAACCTGAAACTCCATGACACTTGCACTCCAATTTCATTCTCTCTTCAAGAACCTATGTGTAAAGACAGGTGCATATGGTTACTGCAGGAAAACAGTATTGCAAGCTTGCCTAAATCTCCGTCTGTTTAGTTCATATGTTCATACTCATTACTGCTGGTGGAAATTTTTTGAACGCATGTTTATAAATCTTCTCACCTCCCAGCAGAATGCTTGTCACACATTTTGTTTTACATGCTGCCTGGTCGGAAAGGCAGTGTTTTGTCAATTTATTAGAAAACATTTGCATTCTCTTTCCAAATATTGGAGAATATTTACTTAAATTTCAGAAGACAGGTCTTTAGAGCAAAAGTAATTCATGGGACTCCAATGACTTAAAAAAATTTTTTTCAAACCATATTCATTTTGAAAATGGAAAAAGAATAATGTTTTTTTAAACTGTTGTAAGATTCAGAATATTTGATCTTAATCGCTTTAAGTAATGTTCAAAGAATCTTTAAAAAACTTTCACCCACTGTAATATCACAGAACAATATACACTGTGTGGCTGAATAGGCATTCATGTTCACGGCATAATTAAAAATTTTGCCTATACTGGCAGTGGTGATACCAGCATACCTATTAACTATTCAACCCCGAAAGCATAGCATCCCCTTTAAAAGCAACACTCCTTGCAGTTTCTAGCCCAACTATCAAGCAAACATTCAGCCACAAATACATTTTTTGCACCAAGTCAACGATTGCGCAACGTTAGAGGAAATAATATCCACGGGAGGGTCCTGCTCAGCTGTGAGCCAAAGAGAAATGGGAGCATCTCTTGTTGCTATCGCTAGAGGATGTTAACCTGGCGGAGGTTAACCCAGCATCAGATGGTCCCCAGAAGCGTCCCAGACTGGTGGGTGCTTGGACTCGTGCTCAGCTCCCCACCTCCCGCCCCTGCTGCAGCCGAGCCGTGCCACAGCTGGCACACAGCTCCTTCCCCAGGCAGGGGTGTATGCCGGGGGGGAAGGCAAGCAGATGCCCTCCCGCTTCCCTGCGCACGGCGGAGGGGAAACCGGCCTCACGGAAGCGCCTCTCTGTTTTTCTGCCCTCGCGCTACCGCTTAAGCCTGACCACAATTACACCCACAGTCATCATTAGCTTATGAAAATCAAGGCCTAAGAACAAAGCGAACTGAGCGTTCCCCTTCGCAATGGGATGCTAACAAAGAAATCTGAGCTACCGAGCTTGTCTTGAAGCAGTACTGATGCTTCAGACCATCTCCTGTAGTGGTTTCGTTGCAGATCCCAGAACATGACTGAAATGGGCAAAGGATAAAAGGGCCGAAATCTGAGTACAATGGCATAATGAAGTAGAAGGGAAGTAAAAAATGCTTACTGCTTAAGAAACTGGCCTTAAAATAAAAGCTGTACAGATCTGGTTATCCCTGCAAATAGAGGGCACCCTCCTGAGTTGTTTGAGTTTCACTTAAATTGTACGTTTTGTTTTTTCCCAAATTTCTGGGGTTTCAATATTAAAGAGAATATTTGGTTTTGATTCTCCCTTGCCAACATACAGTAGCAAGTACGAGATAGCTCAGCATCCTATTCAAAAATACCTTAGACCTTCTGAAACCACAGGCTTTTCCCAGGTGAAGGTCAAGTTAGCCTATCAGAGGCAGAAAAAGTGATTTCCAGGAAGGTTTACTGGGTTAGGGAAGAAGTTCTTATAGCTGCAGCTACTCTAAAAAAGGCCACTGACAAACTGTATTACCTTCCATTTCAGTGGCAGTGAGTAGAGGAATGCCTTACAGAATACTCCAGGGTCTCTCAGGGGTCTCCAGGGTCTCCTCTGTGCAGAAGGATGTGATTTTTCGAAGACCCTCAAACAAGATTCCAATCCTGTTCCACAAATCTGGGTTAAAATAATCTATTGGTGTTTAGACGTGCATGTAGATATGTGTAAAAATGCTTATAAGTTTTGCTTGATATTGCCGAAATACATTTTTTTGAAACTAGCCTGTTTCTACAACTTTCTCAACCACTGGTCACCAAGCCCTTGCAGCCACAAGTACTGCAGCAAAACCCATGACAAAAGGTGGATGAGGGCAACTTTGTCTACACCTTCACCAAAGAGCACTGGGAGCATCTAAGGACTTCCAGGGAAGCGTTACCAATGGGATGGATCTGCCACACCTGATTCACGCTCCTCTTCTCCTAAGTAGTAAACCTTGGTGAAGAGTACATGTTTTGTCATGTCCTGCACGTGCTTCTGATGTCTGTTTTTTGGTTGAAAAGGCCAAGTCAGTAACTTGCTCAGAGAGCGAGAGGGGGTGAAGCTTGTGAGGCTCCTTATCCTTGTGTGGGCTCAACACTCCGGACACTGTTCCAAGGATCCTCCATCTCTCTCATTTGGTGCGCTTCCCTGATACAGCAGAAAGTGTCATTGCTCCTGAAAGACAAAGATATCACCCATTCTGGTGTCCTACGTGATATCTTTTTATATATGGATGTGTGTGTGTACATATATATATGTTTGCCTCTGTGTGTATTTGCTTGAGATGCTGCCATTTATACACAGCACTGCCTGGCACGCTCTGTAGTACAATCTCCAACAACTTTATCCTGAGTCTTGAATTCCTCTTTTGTCGTCTTTCTGAAGGTCCAGTTTGGTGAGTCATGTTGCTGTACAGAAATCTGTTCACTGCTGTATTTTTTCAAAGGTTCCCACTGGCTATGGTGGTGGAAGAACTTGCAAATGCAAGCCACGCAGGCTCAAAAAAGCAGAAGTTTCAAAAAGTATTAATTCATGATCCTGAAGCCAATCTTACAGGTTTTTTTATTTTTTCAGAGGCTTCTCTCATGAATGTGGAATGCTTGGGGTTACAACACTGAGCGCAGGCCCAATCATCAGGTAGTTAAATTCCTGAATGCTATAATTTGTGTGCCCACAGTCAGCTGTGGGTATAAAATTGTGCCCAAAAACTTGGAGGTCAGGGAATACAAGGCCCAAACTAAGCAAATTCTAAGCAACATTTTTTTTCCCTCTTTCCACCCAGATGCCGTGGAGTGTTCCTCTTTGCTGACAAGCCAGCACGCTCTGGCTTTCCCAGAGGTATGTCTGTCTGCATGGCATCTCGAGCAGCTTCCCACTTGCCAGCAAGGTGCCACTGGACCTGGCAAAGGTGGCAGGATTTGACCCTGTGTGCTCAGTTCTGTGAATGAAGAGTAACTAATGTTTTCCTTCCTAAATGTCCCTCCAGCGCAGTTTTCCTCAGCAAAATTCCCATCAAAGCTTTGACCCTGAACCTTAAAGGTACTTATTTACTCCAATCTAATACTCCGTGCCAAGCTAGGTGCCTGATTAAAGATTGACAATCATTAGCTCGTACGACCCGCTCTCTCAGCAGTTTCATTTGTCATATGTCAGTGCCTCGTATCTAATCTTGAACGGTTTACAGCAAGATCTACCTCCCAGAGCAAATTCCCATCGTTGGACTGTGCTGCCTCAGACTAATCATAGGAACATTCTTTAGGTCCCTTTTCCACACACAGGCCCACTCCCACCCTAGTATGATCTTGCCAAGTAAAATTTTCTAACTACTGCTACTTTGCTAAATGAATTGTGAAATATAATGTTAAAGCTTTCTTATCCCACATATTTTTATACGTATATAAATCATACACTGAAAATGCAATTTGAGGGTTGTCCGCTGCCAGTTAAGCAGAAAAAAACTTGCAAAGACTGAAATAAAACAAAATGATACGCATGAAAAGAAACTCATTTTTTCAAGTTCCATATCTAGACCCAACTGCATAACATCAGATACAGTTTCTGTACATATTAAAAATCCTATCTGGACAAAATATGTAAAAACAATAGTAACATTTTGTGTGTGTTTGTTTTGGCTTGCCTTTTCTGGTTTGTGTTTTCCTTAGTGGAAATGCACATTTTTGGACCAGATGTTGAATGTAACAAAATCCATATTACTTTTTGACTGCAGTATCAAAAAGAAATAGAAGACTTTAGAAGTTTTCCCCCATCAAATATGCAAGTGATCAACTTTTGTTTTGGGTAATAACAGTACCAAAAGAGATGGATCCTGGTCACAAGATGTCACCACCCCTTTGATACTTGTGCAGCTGCAGCCACGAGACTGATGGCTGGCTGATGATGTGTGGCCACTGGCTAACCTTAGTCTCAGTGCAGCCTGGGGTCCACCACTGCTGACAAAATGCTGATGTCATGGACCCGTCTGGGAAACAAGGTTGGGTTTGTTTGTGTTTGGTTTTTTAACTTGGATAGCCAGGGGTATAACTAACATTAGTAGGGTGCAATGCTACTCCTCTAACACAAATTGAGTTATACAGAAATACAGCTCATGCCATGTCTCCTCGGGCTGTGCCCAGCCCTGTGAAGAGAAGACATGGAGCCAGCAGGAGAAGAATAAGGGTGCTTCAAGCTGCATATTTTTCTTTCTGCTCCTCTGTGAGGCTGTTCCATCGAGCATCAAAACAGTATTTATACTCCGTGGGACGGGAGACGAGGAACTGAATTACTGAGCTTACTCCTTCTCTTGTCACATCCCTGTTTTTCCTATTGTTTAGTCCAACGGAAGCAGGGAGCCTCTCATTTGCAGCAGGTCAGTACCCAGCCACAGCACGAGGTGGTTTTTCCCTGGCACTGGCCAGAGCTCAGCAGGGCTGGGAGACCCTCTGAGGTGCCAAGAGGCATCAATTCACCTCCTCCCACCCTTCACCTGTCTCCCTAGGTAAGGCACCCTCTTCCATAGTATCCTCATTGAATGCATTAAAAAAACTGAAGAAGGCCAACTGCTCTCTTTACCCAAGTTCTCCTCTTGGCTAGCAGGAAAATAAACCTGGGATTTTGGGACCTGCTGCCCACCAGATGAAAGTCCCTACTATTATGAGAATGGGATATAGAACCTAACTCATCTGTGCCTCTTCACTGCCTTCTAGAAGAAGAGAAAATAGCTGCTAAGTTTAAACAATAAACTGCTGCAGTTGGTTAAAACCTTCTGAATTTTATTTTTGCAGTGAAATGTTGCAAAATGCC